GCAAATTCATAACGTGTGAAACAGTGTGACCAATAGATCAACACGTCCCTCGCAGCGGAATTAAAACATGCATTTAAAACTGCAGTGGATAGATTGTGTTTTTACATTTTGTCTAGTGTGACCGTAGGTTAAAAACGCTCAAAATTCAGCTTTGCATCACACAAATAAATGTAACTAATAAGTTAAGTTATTTTAAGTTGTAAAAATATATTTGACAGTATTATGATTTTTACATCACAGAATCTCATAAATAAGCTACATTTTAAAATATATTGAAAAGGACAACAAGTCTTTTTAATTGTAATATATAAAAAATTTTTTTTACGTTAATTCTAATTAAATAAATTCAGCCTAGGTGAGCATAAGACAATTCTTACATTAACATTAAAAAACGCAATGTTAATTAAAAAAATTAAAATGAATTATTCTGAACTTTTGTCCAGTATTGTATGCAAGTGCACTTTAATCTCACATTGCAATAACAATAATTAAGCACACGATCTTGATGCAAAAACTTTATTCTAGTGGTAAGGTTTTTATGGATCATGGCAGTATTTATTGTACTGTCTTTTCATTTAAATTAGCATAAATTAAAAAGTAAACGCATTAAAGTAACTTACTGTTAATACAGTTACTGTATTACAATAACAAGAACATAATGAAAATTATTTAACACACATAAAATATATAATAATAATTCTGCATTATGGTTATGCGAAATTGTAGGTAAATGCATTGCCATAAAGTATTATTTCTCATTTCTCTTTCTGGTTTTGGGATTAAATGTGACCTAGACACATTTATAACGAGATAAAGCCTCTTAGTTTGAAGACATGTCACTGTTAGCTCAGTAATACAAGCAGTGACGACTCACCATCTGCTGGATCCGATGGAAGCTCTTCCCATGAAAGCTGAACGCTTGTTCAAACAACACCTTGTCCTCCACTGTCCACTCATCGGGGAAGGGGGTGAAGTTCGGCAGATCAGCAAGGGACTTCTCGATGTTGTGTTTATGCCAGAAGAGCATGCCGAGAGCCTGTGGAGCACAGAGGACAGCCATACATTAATGAACATGGACAACAAAGAGAGCTTTGAGGACTGTGTGCTCCTAACTCACCTGCTCAACATTGTAGCCATGCTTTTCTTTTGCAATCGCAATGTACTCATCCACTGAAAACAAAAAAAAAATCATAATACACACACGTACACAATAATGCATCATGTTGTCACAATGAAAAATGAAATGCCCCCCCCCCCCAAAAAAAAGTTGCAAATACTTACATTTAGAGTCAAGTATTGTGTGATGTGGAGACCAAACCAACATGCCACCGTGGTCTTTATCGCTGTATTTTGTGGAGCCTACAACATTGCAACAGAAAAAGTATGCAATAAACGTGTCCAAAAACACTTGTAATGTTAGACTTTTTAAGATTTCACTGTTAATTTGTTAAGAGTTCAAATTTTTGTATTACCAATATTAATTAAAATTGTTTAGTGTTGCAGTTATTGGAGGGTTAACTCGCATTCCGGTCACAATTTTGTGTCTTATTCACAAAATTCACAAGTTAAATAGTAATTTAAAGGCATTTTCACTTCAGTCCTGAATAGCACACAAAACTGCTATTTTATCGCCTTAGGAAAATTTTACAATTTTACACGTTATTAAACGTTTCCCGTTTAAATAGCTGATTTATGAACTAACAAGATTAAAATAAAGATTAAACTGACTCATATGTCAAAGTTACTGGATATATTAGCTGAGGAGTGGCTAAGAGAGAAAGCTAACATCCTCTCACAAAAAGCTTTTCATGAGTACGTAATCATACACTAACATTAAAAACAGATTTAAAATACCAACATGGTCCATTCGACACCCCAAATCCTTGCATACAAGTTTAAAATATTGATTTATACGCAGATCGTTCGGCGCGATAGCTGTACCGAGGCTACCACAGTCAGTCAGGTTCTCAAGAGGCGGAATGCAGTGCTTTTCCCTACCTGGATCAAACTCAGGAATATTTGCTTGATAATCAGACCCCACACGCATGCCCACATCTGAAAAAACAAGAATAATGTGTGATGTTTCGAGTTTGTTAAGCGATTTGTTTTTCAGTAAAGTACATAAACAACCTCCGCAGGGGTGTTCGAGGCTATACCGTGCTCGTCGTCGCTGCCGCTCTCGTCCGAAAAATGTCCGTTCGAGGCGTTCGACGGGCTTTTCGTCCCATTCGAGCGACCTTTGCCCAGATATTCCGACCCTTTGTCCATCATTCCCGGCATAGTGGCGACACGCTTGATAATTCTGAGCATTAATGAAATATGTCAACACTACAGCACTCGTTCTCCGTCCAGTGGCTCTGCGCAGCTGCGCCGCTGTGCACTCCGGTATCCCTCCGCTGCATCGCTCTCGAGTTCCCTTAGCTTCACCGTCTGTCTCTCCATCGCTAACATCTGTTGTGTGTTTTCGTCAAATGTTCAATGTAAATGAGCAGGTTTGCGTGATTTTGTTCTTCGTTTAACGATCAACGCATGTGTCCGGATCTAGTTTTCCTCGCGGAAGTAATTGTTACGCACGTAAACAAAGGAGAAACGCGGCTCTTGTGTGCGCCACGGTCTTCTTTTCACGCATGTTTTCATTTGTTCCTTTCACAGTGTGTCAAAATAGGTCTCTTTTGTGCATTACATTTACCAGAAAAGGGTTATCTCGTAATAAATATTAGCTATGTTTAATGATTCGCAAATTTATGCTGAGTAGCTATTCATAAACGCTTCTTTTAGTCATCTAGAATTGATTTTTTTTTAAATCCAAGTCTTCATGATTTACACGTTACACTTAACGTGAACCTGACATAAGAGTGTTTATATTTATAATTACACAAGGATCTAGTTCTTCCTTTGGTTTTAATAAACGTAGATAATCAGAAGAGTATTGTTTCGCACACTGTGACATTCATGATTTGCTGAAATCAGTGGTATGTGGTAGACTATTGACATGAATAGGCAAAATCTCTTGTCTGGTTTAGTACACTAGCCTATAGAAATAATTAAAAACGGATTTGTTTTTAAAAAAGTTTATGGGTTAAAAGCAATTTTATGACAATTAAAAGGTACACATAATATGCACTACCTGGCATATCTCTGAAAATCATCATATTCATCAGTTTTTCAACTCATCTCCTGCCTTCAAGTGGAAAATATTGCAGATTGATAAGGCATGGTGTGGCTGATGTTGAACACGTGTTAGTAAATTATACACAAAACAGCTGAAAACAATCACTGGAGATGTATGAGTCTCAAATAATTAACAAAAAATACTTGAAACTTAAAATAAACAACAAACAAACAAACAAAAAAAAAAGTAATTCCACATGTAACATTAAAGCGCCTTTGGGAAAAAAATAGGAAATTGTTCACTTCTTTCTTGTTGAAAAGCTACTACGAAGTTGCTTTAAACCACATCAGACCTTATTTCACTCAGAAATGTAATACAGCTAATATATATAAAGTAGATAACAGATTTTCTATTCTGTGAATAAGTGGCTGTGACTGAATGAGATTGAGAGGTGAAAGCCGAAAGATGTGCCCTCTGGTGTCTAAAAGCAAGTAGACACAATCCCCTCAGAGTCAAACTTTGGCAGAATCTTTTGCCAGAGGTACTTGACATGTGCAAAGCTCATGGAAAGAAATAACAGGAATTTAGGCTATATGCAAAGACACAGACACAGCTTGGAAAAGAAGGGGTTTGAGACTTGATCTGAGGTAAGTGATACCGAACCGCAAGCACTTCTTTAAAACGTACTTACAGTCTGTGATTCAGAACAGCCGGCATTGTAGTCTACTCTCCCAGGATCAGGAAACAGTCCTCCATAAAATGTGCTGCACACATCTGAATATTTGGGCTGAAGTGTTCTGGAACAGTGTTGTAAATACAACTTAACCACTGATTTCTAGTCGTGTCCATTTTTGGAAAGCCAAACAAAGTAGTTTCGCTTTCACAACAAAACAGCGTCTTCACGACATGGCAGCTGCAGCAACAAAACTACAGCGAGAATAAAAGTTACGCCTTCTTTCTTTGCGTGAACATTTGGGCGGCGTTATGCAAATCTTCCCACATCGTGAGGTAGATATGTTGGGGCGTGTTAGAACGAGCCGTTTTAGGTTCTTTAGGTTGACTCTTAACTTTTATAAAGAATATCTCTTTGGATTTGAGACTTTAGTCTTTGCAACTTTACAGATCTTCTTTATGCACAATCAGCTTGTAACACTCCAAAGAGAAAGGAAAACTTGAAATCGCATCATATGACCCCTTTAACTCCATGCGCCTCTGATTGGTCACTGCATTTATAAACTCAACAGAAATCTGTGTGATTGGTTATAAACTTAAACGCTGCAAACAAGGCCTAAAAAGAAACCTGATGCAACGTGAGCAAATCTATTTTAAATGCAATTACCGCAATCTCTCAGTCCTGACATGTTTTTAATTCATTTCACTTTAATCGTAACTGTAACAGATCTAGCTTAATTTTTCAAGGGCATTTTTTGGTTTCCTTATCTTGAATTTGGGGGGCATTATTGTTCATTTGGGGGGCATTTTTGCCCCAAGCCCCATTAATGTCCTACCCTGATAGAAAAGTGAATGAAGAAGCATGCTCATGAGAAACGGCGCGAGACCGCCTGGTGTAGTATGCAGTCACACAGTAGCTACTCTCAGCAGCACGCAGTGTGCAGCACGCGCTCATCACAGCTCGATCCGCAGCACCTGCGGCTGCTCAGCGGTCCGCTCCCTCGCGTGCCACCGGCCTCTTCTCACTGTTCGAGCGCGAGCGGCAGACTCGCCACGCAGCTCCGTGATTGGCTCAATCACGCGCCAGTTTACTTAGAGGCTCCGTTTCCCGCCATCGCCCCTCTTAACGCGTGAGCGCGCTTCAGCACACGGGCTAATTTATAAACCGAATTAAGGTAAGAAGACGCGTTATTTCACTCGTTTCTGTATTAAGCGGTTCTCAGATATGCCGTGTTCGTGTTGCTGTTGAGTGAGCGCGTGTTAGACTTTGTAAGAACATGTAATAATTAATGTTCCGGCAGGTAACTTAGTGTTCATAATGTTTACAGTGCCATTATTATATCTCTACACTTCGGGTTACCGGGTGAGCGCTGTTTCTGTGCGAAGAGAACTGTTTGCGAACTAATAACGTCGTAAAACCATCCGGTTTGTCCGTGTTCCGACCTACACTAGTCTACAGTTCGTTATGTGTACGTGAGTATGCTTCTGTTCACCTGACAGTGTTTTCTTGTAAGTTTTACTTGCTTACTGTAGAGTTTGGTTGGCGTTTACTGGAGTTTAGAGTTTGCACTGAAATGCGCGTCTTCCCTTGTTACGCTGATTCGCCAGTGACCTCTGACCTCGCAGGCCGCGAGTAGTTTGCAGACTAGACGATTTATTTTACTTTTTTATTTTTGTGTGCGTTGGTCACAGTCCACATGATTGAGATTTGGTAAACGTCCGTCTGCCTTTGTGTGTGTTTGCTCAAATAATCATTCAGTATCACCTTCTGGTTACCTGAGTTTTGTCGGTGTGGCTTTTTGTTATGCAGGTCAGTGTGTGTGTGTATTAATGTCAAGTTTAAATGATCTCTGCATAGACTGGAAGACCACTTAAGTTCACGTGTTGGGTTTAATTCTCCTCTGAATGCTTGCGTGAGTTAATGTGTGTGATATCTGTTGCATTCAGTGGTGTTCATGAGCTGCATGTTCTGCTCAGCAGTTCTGGAGGTGCAGCATTGGTGTGTTTGAGTGCTCACTGGAGGAAATAAGCCCGTTGTGTTCTAGGCTATGTGCACAAGTGGATCTGTTTTCCAGACCGTTTGACCGCCAGTGCCATCAATGCGTCTTTAATATACATATATATATGTGTATATGTATATATGTATATGTATATATGTATATGTATATGTATATATGTATATATGTATGTATATGTGTATATATATATATATGTATATGTGTGTGTATTAGTTGCCGTTAATTCGCCCTCCATCAACCGTGGTGTGACTTCATGTTTCAAGAGCTGAGCAAGTGTTTGTGCACTAAACGTGAGGACCCAGACACCCTTATCTGACCCACCTGTTGCTGGACAGGAGCCTCTGCTGATGAGCTGAATCAGGTGTGTTTGATTAGGGGAACAGCTAAGGCTGCGTTTACACTTATCACGTGAAGAGACACACGCATGTAGATGAGCTTTAATATATGCAACTTTTAAAATGACTGAACGATGTTTTCCTTCTGAGCTCTGTGTGAAACTATATATTAGGGCTGCCTCTAACGACTGTTTTTATTTCGATTAATCTATCGACTAATTTATCTATTAATCTAAACGATTAATTTCCCACAAAAAAATCAACAATTTTACTTAAGAATATTTTATTAAACTGTTTTATTAAACCAAATGAAATTACTATGACAAATCCTTTTTTTAAAAGTAAAGTGCAACAGAGTGCAAGAAGCAAGTGTCTATCTCACAGTCCTGTCACTGAAATCAGAGTTCAGTATTATAGTGTAAGAATGACAACATATCCACTTGTTCAAGTCTACTAATAATACAATTATAATCAAAAAACACTTTTTAAAGGAGTATTTGCTAGAAATGTTTACCAGAATTTATTCAGGGGAAAAATGTAAATGTGCAGTATTTCTGAAAAAAAAGACTTAAAAAAAATAAAATCAATTAATTGGAGATGCTTTCGATTATTAAAACTTAATGGAACCATTAAAATGGAATTCAGAAAATAATGGAAAACAGAATTTGGTAAAGATAAAACTGTAAAACTCAATTAATTAGACAGGCATTTTGATTCATACAATTTAATTTAACCATTAAAATGGAGTATAGAAAAATTAAAATGGAAAACTGAATTTGGAAATAAAAAGGATTTCATAGGGCCCTATAATAATTCTTTTTTTTTTGGTAGTAATAAAAATCTCTAGAATAGACATATGGCAGAAAAAAAATCCCGTGCCCAGGAATTTTTTTTTGCCATGCATTGGTCATAGAGCTCTTTGTGGCGTTGCCTCAGATGTTGAACCAGATTTGTTGCGCCAAGTTCACACGTACTCCGTCTGCAGTGCGTATACAGTAAGTGTATGCGGTGCAGAAGCAGCACGGACTCATTTTGTTTTCACACAGGACGCGTTTGCAGTCCACTCCTGATCCGCGGCTGTTTACCACAAACACAACATTTATCCATTATTTTGATTTCAAATCCAAACGTTGTTTCGGAAAATGCTTTTTCAGCATTGTGATTATCTTTTATCACAGTACAGTTGGGCTGTGCGATTTGGGGGAAAATATCATTGCGATTTTTTTTTTTATTTATTTATTTTTTGGACAGATAATGCGAGTGTGATTTGCGAAAATTTTTTATTTTTATTTTTTTTTTAAAATTTGCAAAGTCAAGCTTCAGCTCAATATTGCCAATAATGTGCAGC